CTTGTTCCATGCAATGCACATCGAGCGCGCTTGTTGCTCCATCTCCCAACCCTCCATCACACTGGCAAGTTGAAAGCTGAAAATATTGCTTGCTCAAACGCCTCAAAAAGTGACATAGTCATACGGTCCACCTTCACAGAAAACTCTTGGAGGATATGTACCCGCTTGTAACATACCCAAACCGAGCTAACCAAAGAGGCCCAGTGCACGACACGACGGCGCAGCTGTGGGTTCATGGCCTGTCGCGTCCGATGGATGGCGACTTCACCCTGACGAATGTACTCTCTAGCGGACCTGTCACTCTGCCACCGCCCATAAACTAGGATATCGGCCAAAGGGGTGCCCTGCCGGGCTAACTCCGACGCCCCAGAGCGCCTGAAAGTGTGTGTGGTGACCACAAAGTCATCACCTCCCAGGAGCCAAGAAAGCCGTCGAACCCAACGCAAGGCCGACGCATAAGAGACGGTGAAAGCCAAGTCACTACCAGAACCATTCATGTGTTTCAAGTATTGGCGCAGAAAGTCGACCACTGAGGAGTTTCGAAGCACCACTTTCTGCTCGGTGCCTCTCTTCGTGTGTCCCAGAGGCATAAAACAATGTCCCCATCGCCCACCACAATGTCTTGAAACCTCAACTGTAAAGCTTCTCGCACTCGAAGGAGGCCAGCATAGCAAGTCACAATCAAGGCTGCTAGTGACACTCTGTTCAAAAGCATTGCTATGGAAACCATGGCATGCAGGAACTCAGGTGGGGCAGCTGGAGCCTGTCTCACAGGGACACGCTGCCCCCAGGCGTCAAACACCTTCCAAGCCACTCGAATGCGAAGTCTCGGGAAGAGCTTTTGGACTGCGGACAATGCCCATCCATAGACTGCTTTGGATGAACCGTTCTCACATGCATCTACCAGCCATTCCGCCAGAAAAAGGTCCTGTTCTTCTTCCGACATCTCGGACCAGTGACGGTCATGGGCCAGCAACTCATTGTTGAGGTGACCCAGTGCGAGGGTGTATTTCTGCACTGTGGATTCTCTCAAGGACCCCAGCAAGAAAAGCTGGACACGGTTCAACCCACCTATAGCTTCCATTGCAGGACATGCCCCATGGGTCGGGAAAAAACTCCTTTGAAACACGTGGTGCAAAAGGCTTTAGGTAGTGGTTGACATGCGCTGGCACCAAACGCTCCACAAATGAGCTAGCAAGTGCAAAACACAAACCGCTAGGATATTGCGCAGCTGGTGTTGTACGAAAGTGACCCCTCGAATCAAGCCCAAGCAGCTGTGCATGTGGAACTGAGTGAGTGCAATGCATGCTCAACGACGGACAACCGCGTTGCTGAAGCAGGCCCGTGGGCTTCTTAGAGATTGCCCCATACATACACTGATCTAGCTCTGTGTAAAACAGTCTGAAGAAGTGCATGAACTGACTGACCTCCGGGGTGGCGAAGAACGACGGATACGGCTCTCGCTTCCGATCGGCGGGATGCTCCAAGCCTATCCAGCCACCCCTCAGACAAATTTCACCTAGTAGTCCCAGTGTAATGAGAAACAAAGCTGTGCCGATATCAACTGACATGCTCTCCTTAGAAGTGCAATACGGCAATGCTACCCAGGGGTTTTGTCGAGCCCGCAAAGGTCGCGGTCCACGGGTCTGTCTGCCCTGCATCGCAACGTGACGAGCCGCCGAGATTGTGCTGCATGGTGGTGATCCAAATCCTCCTACAACACGTCCTGAAGCAATGAGATTCATGATATGTTCAAACCACTCATGCTGCAACAATTCGGCCCTGTACCCAGTGAACTTCCATCCCACGTCAGCCAACGGGTCAATGGCTATGGCTTGTACTTCAATACCATGTTCTGCACTGAGAATCTCTACAGCATCAAGCAAATCACCACTACGTCGAGGACCCGAACAAAAGTGGATGAAAAACACTGTATCCTGCTTCCACCAGCTAAGCTCTCTCAGATCAAAGGCCGGAGAACTCGATGCCACCTCGGCCTTGGCCACGGAGGCCCCGGCAGGCTCAAACCGACGTGAAGGTTCATCTGCTGGGTTGTCTTTACTCGGGAGCCAGGGATACCACACTTCATGCCCCCCTGCAATGCAAATCGACGCCACCCGCCGACATCGTGAGTTGAGCTGATGTGAACTGGATCTGCCCTTCGTGAAACTCCCGGCGCATGCTGCTGAGTCAACCGGATGAACAAAACAAGCACCGTCATCGCCCGGCCTCCGCAGTCTGTCCTCAGCCGCCCATGCAATGGCATCGGCCTCACCCAACGTGATGTGCTGACACGTCCATGGTGTGCCAATGTACCGCCATCGAATGCGCTCCTTTGGCAATCTGATTTTTCTCATGTGACACTTGTGCTCTTCTGTCAAACCAATGCTCCAAGGCAATGTTAAGTTGGTGTAAACTTTACTGTGATCGCTGAAGCGTGCCATTGCCTGCACCACCGCTGTTGGCGCAATGCCGTAGGCCCGCCCCAGACCTGTCATGGAGGCGTCTGTGCACTCCACCCGCTTGCTCCAATCGCTCGACATGTCAAAGTGGGCAAATGGAATGAGAAGAGTGGAGATGCAGAGCTCTATCCAAACCTCGTCCGGCCACGACACCAGCTCCCGGCGCCTGCCACGTACATCAGCTATCCAAGGGTAGACCGCTTGAAAGATCGACCTCAACGCCGGCCGGCACGTAGGAAGCTGTGCTTGCCAATGAGTCTATCTGCCACCCCCACCACCACCTTGGGTCTCATGAGAGCCATGAACGTTGCCTGAAACAAGTAACGCCTCTTCTCCATGGATAGACCAACCCAATGGGCAGAGGGGTGGATATAGTAGCCTTGCACTTCTTCTCCCAGAGCTTGGTTGACGGTCTTCTTCGAATTCGGCTCAACTCCTCTGAGGCACCAAACATCCTCCGCACGGTTGAGCCACTCTGGACCCACACCTGCGGCATTCTCATCTTCCAAATGGTCAAGCCCCCAAATGTCGTCTATGATGGATCCCCATATGGGCAACTCTCCAGGGATGATGAGGTCAGGATGTAATCTCCGGTCTTCAGGGAGGTGTGCATCGTTCGCAACTACATCGGTGAGCCCCTGCGCCCACCCAGCCGAAGGCCCAAAGCACATAGGTGCTGATTGAGCCGCTGGGAACATGACACGAGTCCCCCCTTGCCTGCACGGAAGCTCAATGGATGGTGCGCAAAGCCAACGCCCCCATCTCCGGCCTATACGCAGACGGTGGAAATAGTGACGTGCATCACGCTTGCTAACCACAATCACTCCAGTGCGAGGAACGGTCACCGATCTCAGCGATGGCACATAAGCGAATCGAGGTCGGGGGAGTCTATCTTGGTCAAGAAGTTGATTTACAGCCGGGTCAGTGATAACCCTGTCCTCACGGTCGTCCTTCATGACTGCAAAAGCCCCTGCCAAAACCATCTTCCCCCCCAGACGAGCAACCTGTTTCGGATGTTTGAGTCTCTGAAGTCCCGCCTTCACATTCTTCTTCACGAGCTCTGGATATGAGGGTGCCACCCAGGTGAAGCCCCGTTTGACTCTCCTGGGACGTCTCGCTGGCGGCAGCAGCAGGTGCGATGGTGAAGACACCTGCTCAGCCATCACTGGAAAAAGCGCCTGTAAACGCTGTCCCAATGGTACATCGGCAGCCTTGTCAGGAACCCCACCCTTCACGCCCAAAGCCAGCACCACACCGGACCCAGTGTAGAGCTGAGTTTGCCTCATATAATGATCGAGCCCCTCTGGCCCCATCACAGGCTCATCTGTCATCACCAGAGCCTCAAGCGCCTTCCCCACGCGAGTGAAGATGCGCCTATGGGCAGCCGTCACAAGACTTGTCAAAAGCTCACAACGACCCCCGTGCAGCCAGTTCAGGGCCAGAAGAATCAAGTTGCCTCCACCGCTCAAGCCTGCCTTTGCCAACTCCCCTAATGCACCTCCGAAGAAATCCAATGGAAGGCACGGCAAAGGAAAAACATTTGGTGGAGAAAAACCACTCCCCTCGCCCCTTTGTGATTGCACTGTATTGAATTCACGCTTGCACTTGCTATGGCCTGATCTCCTCAACATTGTGCGAAAAGTATCACAAAAACCCAAGTCATCATGCCCCCACTTGAAAGCTTCCGACAAAGGTTCAACCACCACTGTGAAAAACTGATCAAATGGCATCTGATTGCTAACTCTTGCACTGCGACGAAACCAGGCCCTCCGCACCTTCTCACTCAAGCATTTGTCAAGGCCAGCATGCCCGAGCTGGCCAGCGACTTCCGGGTGTCGATGAGTTCGACCGCTTCCGCTTTCTCCCAAGACCCTCCTTTCTGCTTCGCCGACTGGATGGCGATGATGCGCTGACAAATGATGTCTAAGGCTCGCGCTATCTCCTTCCGGTTGATGGAGTCTAGCACTTCTGCTAGAGTGACAACCTCCTTGAGATCTCGAATCTCGGTGAGTCCCGAGAACTGGTGAGCCCACGATGTCACGCTCACATCTCTCAGCTGGCCTGTTCTGGTCAGGGATCCCTTGCTCAACCGGGAATAAACCCCTGCCAAAAAATGAGCTGTCAATGCCCCCGGATGCTTGCTGGCAAACGCCAGCAAATCGCCCTTGCGCTTGAGTTTGAGGGCATCCACGTGGGTCAGGTCGGTGTAGGAAACGGATTTGTCCTTGCCGTGTTCCCTCCAGCGCAGTGGCTTGCTCTTCCGGTCTCCCGATGAACTCCTGGAACTCCGGGATCTTGATGTGCTGCTGCTGCTGGACGAACTGTCGCTGCTTGAGCTGCTGCCTGAATGCTTCTTGTCCTTCTTCTTCTTCTTTTTCTTGGAGTCCTTCTTGGACTTCTTTCGATCCTTCTTCTTGTTCTTCTTCGACACATTGGATCGTCCGCCTGGGCTCACTGCAAGACGTTGTAGGTCCCTGACGGCTGCCTCCAGAGCATGCAGATCTGCTGACTGAACTCCTGACGGACTGTCGCCACCAACTGCCAGCCCTGCTGCCGCGGGTGCGGCAGGTCCCAAAGCCCCTGCGGCGGCGGCTGCTGGACCAGGAGGGCCAGCACCAACCCCCGTGATCTCCACCAAAGGCCCACTGACTCCAGGGATGTTGGCTGGCCATGTACTGCCCGTCGCAATGTATTGGGCCAGGATCAAACCAGCCTCGGCGCAGATGTTCGGGATCTCGGCAACTCCTGGCCTCCACTGATTGGCCCCTGCAGGGGGAGTGCACACCCAGTTGATGTCCCCATCCGGAATACCAGCTGGTGCCCGTCTCTCCCCATGAGCCCCATTGGTGGGGAGTCGTAGATGAAGCCCATCCACTCGCACCAAGACCCAAATCCATGCGTCCCCAATGCTGTTTGTTGTCTTGCACACTGCATGATTGTAGTTGTCTGTGAATGCTCCTATCATCACCTCGTCCCATTCCGGTGGCCGACTCACTAGGATGACTGAACCAACTGGAATAGGTGGACCTGCAGCTAAGGCCATGCCCTCGGAGGTAAAGACTGCTTCCTGTTCTGCGAGGTGCAAGGCCCTCTCAATGCAACGACCAGCCCAAAGCGCCCACAACTGTAAACACTCTGAACCTACCTCCAGCAAAAGAGAAAAACCTCGACCAATGAGAACGATGCAACGAAGCAACAGTCGACACACCTCCAAGATCTCAGTCCAAAAGTGCAACAACAAGAATACCGCACTGATATGCAAGAAACCTTCGAGGATCTGAGGACCTGTCTTTGTAGGAGAGGAAGCCAACAAATCAAACCCAACGTGTGCCACCAGCCTACCGAGGCTGCCGTCTATTGCTGGGATGACGGACTCCCTCCACCACGCCCACGTGCCCAAGGTGGCTCCCACCGCCAATGGCGCCAGGGCTCGGTCCATGCAAGGCGGAGAGCAAGTCTTGAGCGAAAAAAGAACGGAAGACATCCTAACGAGACCATCCGTGACGTTGCAAGGCAGCACAAACATCTAGTTCTTCAAACAAAGGACAATGGCAGTCCGATGGAGTGTCTGGGATATAGTTGCCAAAGTGTGTCACTGTCGTTGAAAACGAAGGTGGAGGTTGCCTTTAGCGCCTTTAGTGGGTCCCACATCCAAGCCCGTCCAAGTTGATGGTCTTTCGCACGGCCGCGAAGTGGCCGCACATGCTGGGCATCCACACTGAGCCTGTCCCACTCAGCAGATGCCTGCCAGCTTGACGGTGACAACTGACATGTTTGCTGTTTATCTGAACCATGTGTGTGGGTGCCATGGAAAATCAGGCATCCCCCTTTTCACTGTGTCTACCTTCAGCTTTCCCGAGTATCAACCAAGTTCACAGCAATCGTCAAAAAGACCATGAATCGTCAAAAAGACCATGATCAAAACAAACGTCCTATCACGTGGGCCGGATCACATGAGCCGTTCATCCTCCGGCCGAAGAACACCCGACCGCGTCCCCCACCGGTACCTGCGAAGGCGTCGCGGTCGTCTTCTTCGCTCGGGCCGAGCCACCCGGGCCGCCTCGAGAAGCGCGAGTGGCGGGGCGCAGCACGTGTTGGGTGGGCGCAGCACTCCGTGTTCCCCAAAAAGACCTCTGTGTCGAAAAGGACGGGACCATGACGGAGCAAAGTTGCACCGGTTTCTACAAGCATCCGGAAGCTCACTGAAGGTCAGTGATCTGTCTGCTGAATGCTCACAGAGGCTTTCACTCCTTCTATTCCCTTGCCAAGTCGCACCGAGTCCCCCTTTCCAGAATCCTTCTTAACAGTACTCATTGATCTTCAATGCATACATGGTATCCATCATCCACTTCTTTGCGGCCATGTTCTTTGGGATCAGGTGAAAAACATGGACAAGATAATATAGACCATGACCATCATCCCAAAAATGTGTCAGAACATGGACCATGGACCATGGACCATGGACATCGACCTGGACCCCGCAGCCATCGTCTACGGATCCTCCCCAACCGAATCCCATCGACCCAGCTCCGGTCCCTCCGGTGCCTGCCGGTTCCACCTTGATCTCAATCGTCCTCGATCTTGCCTCGGGTGCCGGTCGCTTCCGCCATCCACGGCCGTGAGGTCCGGCAGGATGACCGGGAAAGAGGTCCGGTCTGGGCCCCGTCGGCCCGTTTGGATGATGGGGCCTGGTTGCAGGCCGGCTGTTCAAACATAGTGATTTTCTTGTTTACTGACTGCTACAGCAACAGGTAATATTACAGACTTATATAAGTTATGGAAATCATAGGATGGAACCCTAGAATATTGGATTGTTTGGCAACATCCTTAACAAAGGTAGAGAACAAGGGTACAATCCTGGTGAAATGATGTGAAAACAGATGTGCGTGGTTCTCAGGTTCTCATCTCTTCGCTTCACCGAAGGCCGGAAGGCCAATGCGAGGCTGCTATGAATGGTGGTCTTTGGGCATGAGAGAATAAGACACTTCAAAGGAACCTTAAAAGGTATCCCGTTGCTTGAGATCAAATTCATTGTACAGCATGGACGAGATGGTCGTGTGGTTGACGGCTGCTGATCAGCAAGGTCCGATGGACGTCCAACACTTCCGTGTGTGTTCCTGGGGTTTAAAAGAAGTTATACTCAGCCAAATGGCAACGTCTGGTGTCATGCAATATGACAGCTGCACAAAATACACAATACAAGCAATACACAATGTGAAGTGGCAAAGGTCGCAAGCAAACAGAAAGGATACAGCTTGAAAAGTACTAATCTTGCTTGCAAGCTGTGGTCAGAAAGTTCATTGGTCTGAGTTCATGCCGGGTCCGCTCAAGTGGTATCCCTGTCCAAGACTGGATGACAATTAAAGACCCTTCCAAGTGCTAGGGAACTTCTGGTCTCCGCGATGGCACAGGCCCCGCTGCGGCCACCCGCTCTGGCGCCCTGACACGTTGTGCAGGCGATGCCTGACCTCTGTCGCACTTGACGTGGCTGCGGCCGCTACACGTGCCTGGTGACTCTTTACGTTCTGCTATGTGGTGCCATGTCATTGAAGTGATGCAGTGCCTTTCTGACTAAGAACGTGTCTTCAGAAACTGCCGGGGAGCGAATTAGTGCTGCAAAAGAAATGGTTCTACTTCCAGTTCCACCAAAATCTCATTCTGGGCACCCGTGCGAGGAGTTTGGGTAGACTTTCCAGCATCCTTGCAGCGTAAACAAAGTCCACAAAATCGCGAACGGGCGCGCCTTGCGCACCGCGGTGTTTCTTTTGTCGGAGGTGACGGAGAGGGTGGAAGTTCTTGACGGCACAAAGTTCAACTTGGTTTAACTTGGTCTTCTCTCAACATGTGCAAGCTAAGACCTTTGGGTTCGACATGCCCCCCACAAAAAGAGCTGCAAAGTCAATTGGCCCCTGTGTTAACTTTCACCGTTGTTGCGGAAATTCCAAAAATAAGCGTGTCACATTGATCTGACCTGAGCGGTGCTTGGAAATTTTGCCTTGTAGACAGTTTGACCCACCCCTCCACACAGAAATAGAGCTGAACACAAAAGAAAAAGGGCCCCTGAGGTTAAAACCTCCATGATTTCTTGCACCTCTGCAGGACGAGCCCTTCTTTGGGCCTTGGCTGACAATGAGTGCGCTGAGACCCGAACCTCCTGACACACACCGGGGTTGGCCGATGGGAGGCTGCTTTGCTATACAAGTGCGTTCCTTTACATGGTAGTCTAAGACGCGAAGATAAAACAATTCGTCCAACAATGTTTGTCACTTTGCATATCACCAACGTCCATGCTAGTCGTTTGAGAGTTGCTTATGTAACTTCCTGCATCAAAATGGATCAACATAAGATGGTAACGCCTGGTGTCATGCAACAAAACTGCTACACGACATGTGTCAAGTGGCAAAGGTCACAAGCTGTTGAAGCATACAGGAATCGCCTCAAAAAAGCATGCTTTCAAGCGCAAGTCTTGATTCATTGCAAGTTTCTGGTCAGAAAGTTTCTCCAGTTTCTCAACTCAATTGACACTTACGACGTCCAGGTTTGACTGCACATGACTGCAGTCGTCCACCGTCCCTTCCAGGTCGCCCCTCCACCGATTCGATGCTGGCACCCCCGACGCGTGGCGAGGAGCGACCTCAGGCGTGACCGGGCACGCGACGTCCGGGCACGCTGCGCTGCGTGGTCCGCCCTGCTGCGTTTAGGTGCCTCCATTGTCGTGGTAAAGCTTAGGAGATGCGGCGATGCGCATCGTCTTTTTCGAAGGAAAAAGGGGTCCAACACAGGGTAGCCTGCTAGAGAAACACGTTTGTCAGTTGTTCCAAGAATTCGTGATGTTACAACAAGTTGCGACGCGCCGTGACCAGAAAGACTCATCCCAGGCGTCCACACGAGTAGTCGTGGGCCTTCCAGCATCCTGACACGTGTAAAAATGCACGAACCAGGAGACCAGGTCGCACGCTGTGCTGGTGTTTCGTTAGGCTTTTCTCGGAGAAAACGACGACTCCAAGTTTGAACTCAGTCTGCTCTCACCATCTGCTGAATCTCCTGTGGGACCACGGTCCCTGTGTCTCCCAGACTTGTATGAGACAGCCACTCCAACAGGTTGGAGCTGAACTTCCACGCTTTCAGTGAACTTCCACGCTTGCAGTTTGACCCACCCCTCCACACAGAAATAGAGCTGAACACAAAAGAAAAAGGGCCCCCGAGGTTGAAACCTCCATGATTTCTTGCACCTCTGCAGGACGAGCCCTTCTTTGGGCCTTGGCTGACAATGAGTGCGCTGAGACCCGAACCTCCTGACACACACCGGGGTTGGCCGATGGGAGGCTGCTTTGCTATAGTTGTTTCTAACAAGGGTCCGCTGTGGGTATGATTCATGATGAGAGGATTACAGTGATGTATTCAGCCCACCATGAATTACCATGAAATACCAATGTTTGTAAAACTATTGTCATTATCAATTCTCAATTCTTCGTTTCAAGATATTTCAAGTGTGTGTTCCTGGGGATTAAAAGAAGTTATACTCGGCCAAATGGCAAACTCTGGTGTCATGCAATATGACAGCTGCACAACATACACAATACAAGCAATACACAATGTGAAGTGACAAAAGTCGCAAGCAAACAGAAAGGATACAGCTTGAAAAGTACTAATCTTGCTTGCAAGCTGTGGTCAGAAAGTTCATTGGTCTGAGTTCATGCCGGGTCCGCTCAAGTGGTAGCCATCACCTATCCAAGACTGGATGACAATTAAAGACCCTTCCAAGTGGTAGGGAACTTCTGGTCTCCGCGATGACAGCCCCGCTCCGGCCACCCGCTCTGGCGCCCTGACACGTTGTGCAGGCGATGCCTGACCTCTGTCGCACTTGACGTGGCTGCGGCCGCTACACGTGCCTGGTGACTCTTTACGTTCTGCTATGTAGTGCCATGTCATTGAAGTGATGCAGTGCCTTTCTGACTAAGAACATGTCTTCAAAAACTGCCGGGGAGCGAATTAGTGCTGCAAAAGAAATGGTTCTACTTCCAGTTCCACCAAAATCTCATTCTGGGCACCCGTGCGAGGAGTTTGGGTAGACCTTCCAGCATCCTTGCAGCGTAAACAAAGTCCACAAAATCGCGAACGGGCGCGCCTTGCGCACCGCGGTGTTTCTTTTGTCGGAGGTGACGGAGAGGGTGGAAGTTCTTGACGGCACAAAGTTCAACTTGGTTTAACTTGGTCTTCTCTCAACATGTGCAAGCTAAGACCTTTGGGTTCGACATGCCCCCCACAAAAAGAGCTGCAAAATCAATTGGCCCCTGTGTTAACTTTCACGGTTGTTGCCCAAATTCCAAAAATAAGCGTGTCACATTGATCTCAAAACTGAGCGGTGCTTGGAAAATTTGCCTTGTAGGCAGTTTGACCCACCCCTCCACACAGAAATAGAGCTGAAACATGCTGAAACACAAAAGAAAAAGGGCCCCTGAGGTTGAAACCTCCATGATTTCTTGCACCTCTGCAGGACGAGCCCTTCTTTGGGCCTTGGCTGACAATGAGTGCGCTGAGACCCGAACCTCCTGACACACACTGGGGTTGGCCGATGGGAGGCTGCTTTGCTTTGCAAGTGCGTTGATTAGCTTTGAATAATGAATAATGGTAGTCTTGGGTTAAGACGAGAGGATAGAACTTTTCAGCCCAACAATGTTTGATGCTTGACATACAGTACTTACTATAGAGGGCACAGGGCCCTTGTGGGGAGTTCGTCGTTCTCGACTCTTTACAGCTCCCGCGCCTTCGTTGTGTGACTTCATCCGTCAGTTTCCTTCCGAGTTTGTGTTCCTGGGGTTGAAACCAAAATGATACCGGCCAAAATGGCAACGCCTGGTGCGGTGCAATACGATATCTATATAATAGACAGAAAGGGTCACTGCAAACTGAAAGGATTGAGCTTGAAAAGTACGAATCTTGCTTGCAAACTGTGGTCCGATAGTGCCTTCCTTTTGTGACTTCATGTTGGGTCCACTCAGAAACTCGACTTTCAAGGGTGGAAGTGCCAGAATGGACAGTCCAACACCCTTCCAAAGTGCCGGAGCCTCCGCCAGAGCCTTGCTGCCGAGAAATGCGAGTGGCACCCCGCAGCCAACCACCGCGCGGTTGGAACGGCGCGGCGCGGGAGCTGGGCGCCCCGACACGTGGTGCAGGCGATGACTGACCTCACACGATGGTGTGGGAAGTTCCTGCGGAACTTCACTGATAGGACGGACCTCAGGACTGACCTCATGACCTCCACCGTGGAAGCTCCGACTGTGTGACGGCGTACATCCAGCACCAAGTACCGTGGGAGCTCGCACGAATGCGGCGCCTGAACTGGAGAGTCTGTGCTGTGGCGCCATGGAGAGTCTGTGCCATTCAGAGTCCAGAGTAGGTTCAAAGACTGGAAGGTTGCCAACAACTCCATCATCATGCCATGGGACGGACATATTGACCTATATACATATCTATAGAATGGGCGGTTTCAGAGGTGAATTTTACAGCTTATAGGTCAGTTTGCCATATGGAGAAGTGTCTGGGAAGTGTAGTATCTTGTCTGTGAGATCCTCGCCACAATGACACCATGTTTCTTTGACAGGACTAGAGGTGCTGTCCTCAAGAGTTCGCGCCTTTGGGGTGCCGAACTTCCACCATCGTCTGCTGACGAACATCGACGCCATATACAGACATGTGTCCAAATGTACGTTATAGATCCATCTGTGTCCCACAAAACGTCAGCCAATGGCATGGCATGCTCCAGGTGTCCACACTTGGAGATTCGCTTCCAGCATCCTAGCGGAACACGTCGAATCGTCGCAGATCAAATGCACGAGGTGTTCACATGTTTGAGCGAAGTGTTGCTCCTGATCAAACATGAGGAATCATGAGGTCCAGGGTCTTCAAACAAACACGTTGACATGGACTCTAAGATGTTCAACCATGGAGGTGGCTACACCAGTGAGGACTGCATCTTCAGAGATGGAACCAAAACAGCTGTGCCACCCAGCTCGACTGCGTTGAATTTGGCTTGCACAAAAAACAAAGTAATCTAATCAACAAGGTGCTTGCCTCTCTGAAATTGTAAAAACACACCCTAACGACGGCACGTCTCACCAATTCACGAACACATGTCTGGTGATCCAGCAACCAGCTTCTACATTACCTTGCTCGATTCATCCATGAATTCATCCATCTGTGGGCCTTGCCGGCCAAGGCTTGTCACCTAATCCAAAGCTGGAGTTGCCAAAACACACGTTCGCCGCGTCAGAGGCCTTTGTCCTCCATTGTTAACAACCCGAACATGACCCTAATTAATGGTGAGTTGATGTTTCTTCTGAGAGACCAACGTCCTATAAAGCCTCTACTTTAGTGCCTCTATGGCTAAAAAAGAAAGACTCGCCAGTCACAAACAGAACATCATCCATCCAAAAAAGGCGTGCACCCAACTGTGCAATCAAACCATTGGCACTATCGGATATCTAAAAAGAACACATCCCAAATCTGTCAGACCAGGGTCCCTCAGTGGGTGACCCACTCCCCCCACGGAGTTTATTTTTGAAGCCGTTTCGATCCGCCTGGACGGTGCCGTTGGCGGAACTGGGGGGCGCTTTCTCGGCCAGACCTGAACATCAGTGTGAAAGTTTTGCGAGGCGAAAAAGAAAAACGTCACCAACAGACAAGGATTCCAATCACCAGAGGGATTGGCCAAATCTGGGAAATTCTGGTGATATAGTCCAGCTTCCAGCGTTCTCCATGGGCAATGCCCCTCAAGAGCGGTCGTTGGGCGAAATCACGATAGTACAAGCGAGGTCATGTTCGGAATCATAGGATCTTCATAGTTACCAAAGATCCGGGGTTGATACTCTCTGGTGGTGAGGTTTCCAGGAAATTTCGATACCAGTACCCGACCCCCACTTTGGCCTGATAATACACCACACCAACCTGGAACCCCAACACCGAAAACCTGGAATCCCGTGTGTAGCTAAAACCTTTGTCAATATAGTCATTATAGTCTAAAAAACTGTTTGGAGCGACAGGATTGACCCCTTCTTAGACAAACAGCTTTAGAGTACCATGCTGGTTGAACCCCTTGGTTTGGATCCCAGTTCTCAGTTCTCGCAAGCTCTGGGAGCTCCAAAACCCTCCAAAAAACCTTCCAGCCTCGGCTTTTCATGACCTGGCAAAAAGCACGGCCGGCGCCGGCCACGGCTTCTGCTGTGGTGCTTCGTGCGGTGCGCTGCGCTGCGCTTGGTGCGGTGTGATGTGGCCACCGGGCGGTTTGATGGAAGGAACGAAGGTGGATGAAAACGAGATGTACTTTTGGTCCCAAACACATGGAAACACATCCACAAAGATGATTCTAGGCCAAAAGGTCGACCAGTTTGGCCGAGGCATCCTCCCTTTACATTGCCCAACCCAAACCGTGTTCCAGGAACAGTTACCTATAATGTTAATAACCTACATGGATGGGTGACTTCGCCCAGTCGCATGACTTCCCAGTCTGGGGCCCAGTCCACCTTCGCCCCACCTGCCAAAGTTCCAGGGCTTTGGTTGCGATGCGCTCCGCCAAGACTTGCTTCTTACCGCCTGGAGGCCGTGCGGCATCCGGGGAGTCGGGTCTGAAGAGGCCGCCAGGGGCGTGTGTTCTTTGACCAAGTGTGAAGCACTGACTGGTGAAACCGAATCACTTAAACTAAACAATAAACAACATAGAATTCTCCGATCCGAATCCTATTTGCAGGCCACGCAGGTTCAAAACCCACGACTTGCTGCTGTGACCAGTGCCGAAGCTTTGTTCGTGGGCTGAACCCAGTCTGGTGCAGTCTGAAGGAACATCGGAAGACCGTCCGGCCCACATCAGTCCATATGATCATGTATATAATCCACGAGGAATGCCACGTTCAGTCAGCATGTTTAACCTTGATACCACAGGAATTCAGTCCGCGGCGATGGTCCCTATTAAGTTCATCTATAATAATGGTTATAATGATCTAACACTTGATCTAAGATATATAGTGTATATATGTATTTTTCTACGTTAATACCTCTTTAGAATGTCACGTTTCCATTGCAGCACCCACTCAGTCTTTTCAGTTAACACCTTCCCATTCTGGCCCAACCCCATTTTCTTCCATGTTCCGGACATTTACATGTCCGTTAAGGGGGGTCCGCTGGGTAGCACCAAGAATGGCTTCACTCCATCCCCCCTTTTGCTGCCTTGGGACAGGCCAAAGGTGCGGCAAATGCTCTTCCTGTCGGCCGTGGCGCATTTTGGGCGCCCAAAAGTGTCTCTCGTCGAAGGACGGACAACCACTCCGGAGGGTTGGATGAACAAATGTTTTGCAAATCCTGGAATTCTGGATGGGATGAGCTTCATCAAATCAATTAAAAAGTCATATCTTTATATGAATTATATTTCTAGTTATACAAATGCCGCCTCTTGGTGTGGTGAACATGGGCTTCATCTATGACGCTAGTGAGAGGAAAGGAGAACATGGCCCTCTCCGGTGATTCATGGCACCTGATCCCTGCGCTGGCCTCGGTGAGACTAGGTTCCTGCCCAAATTGGACTCTGAACAACTTGGCCATGTGGATAGCAAACAGGGCCCCTTCATAAAGTGCCCAAGAGACTCCAAATCACAAATCCTGGGGCCCCTTGTCCTCCGTGATCGGAGGCACCCAGTAACCAAAGCTTCGGTCAACCACTGAAATGTGGCTGGGGGCCATAAACTCTGCCACGTTGAGGGTTTTGGAGATAGAATCCGTACCTTTAGGACTTGCACCGTTTGTTCTATGCCCAGAACAAACAGATTTGGTCATGAAACCAAATACCTGGGAAAACAACAGTAGGGGCGACACATACTCCAAGACGCGTCAACTGTACGAGTCCAGAAAAGTGGCAGAAACGTTGATTCCAAAATACCAACAAAAACAATAAAATAACACATGTCACATGTGCAAATTCTGAAAATCTCGGCTCACCCCTGACTATAATCTATATATGGTCACATATGGTCACCCTATGTCACCCTCACAAGCTCCCACTGGGCAACCCCACAAGTCGTGGACCCGGTAACGCTCCTGGACGAGGAAGTTGGCCACCCGCTTGTACATACATATATAGTTACATACACGTCACTGACTGCGAAAGGGGTTTCGAACTCTTCAGAGGGTCAGTTCCGAGTTCCAGTTCTTTTCGATTGAAAAGACTGCACTGCACCATCGACTGTAGGGCAATACTCTTTGGGATGAGATCCTTGGGATGAGACACTAGAGGGGGTCTTTTCATTGGTCGTTCCCCCAGTGGGCAAGAGGATTGGACACACCAAAAGCAATGCAAATACCCAAAAACATCCAAAAGCAATCAATACGCTCCTCAATTCAACAATGCATCATAATGCATCGATGTTCTGCTTTTCCACTATGACCACACTAGGCTGGCGGATGTTCTGCAAGACACGTCACACACCTCCTCTTCCACTCCAATCAACTGTGGAACAACACCCCCTGTTCGGTCCCGCTTCCACTGCTTGTGGCGGAGATCTACCCACCACGCTTAGACCAACGCCGATGCCGCGCGACCCGACGCGACGCGACGCCACGAAGCCCGTGGCGCTCAGAAAGGTCGGTGGACGACGACGTCTTCCGCCTGCAGCAAGGACGCCACATCGCCATCCGTCTCCTTCACCTGTCCGGACACCTCTGCGGAATCGGCGCCGCACCAAAGGACACTGTTTTGGAAAGAGGTGAAAGGTGAAGGAAAAGAGGGTCGAAGTCTTTGTGGAAAAGGCGAATGGATGCGAATGGGGCGAATGAGGTTTTGGATCAGGATGACTGAGATTCAGATTGCAGCAGCTGGACTGTTATTGGGGAAAGGTCGATGGAAAGGTCGATGTCAAAAGGAAGGTTTTGGAGGGATTCCTGTACAGGAGAGTTTCTTGGGAAGCACATACAGTATGTCACATATGCGCAGTGAAACTGGAACGCCCCGCTGTTAAAAGAGTCGTTGTTCTTGTGCTTCAGCAAACTGGGTGTCAGCAAAGATTGTCTTCAACGCCTGGTGCACGTGCAAACACCTGCTCGACTCCTACCTTGCTGAAAGAATAAACCCATTCCAGTGGAAAGGGACAGTGGGTATTCTGGATCCTTTCTCCACCAACCGAAGCTATAGCAGCGGCACTAAAAATGTGGCTTGAAGTTGTTGGCTGATTCAATGCAAATTCCGCTCTTCACATCGTTGTGGCGGTCGAGGTTTCGCGTCCTCACATGTTTGAAGAGCAAAAAGAACTGTATGTCAAGATCAATCAACTACATAACCATTATGACATACTGCCATGACCGATCTTGAGAGTGAATTGTTCAGAACCCTGAAAGAATATATGGTTCGACTCCAGAACCCCTTGGAAGTCGGGTCACTCTCGAGCCTCGTGTCTCACGCTTCGTGTTTCACGCCTGAATGACCCGTGCAGCTGGACCCTGATACAGGGCATCCTCCATCTTCAAGGCCTCCTGGCAGATCAAAGGCCTTGAATATACCACAACTACCAAGCAAGCAAAATGACTCTCCATCTGCCCACTCCGCAGATCCAAAGTTCCAAATCTCAGAAACAAGAAATTGCTTTCCTGCTGTCTGGCGAGCGTTGCTGCCCCTTTTGCCAGGTCTGTCAAACGGTCTTGAGACATGCTGAAGGAGTGCCTGCACAAACCAAAACTCATTCTAATATGATCAAACAATTAAATACCTCTGCAGATTAACATGGACGCCAAAACCACTGGGGTTGTAGAGGAAAATGGTCTTCCATTGGTGCCATTCGACCTGGGCCCATGTTAGTCTGAGACAGCACGAAGTCTCCAAGAACGGTGGCCCACCTCCCAAAACCGGTCGACCGAGTCTCCCGTGCTCCCGAGCTGTCTCTAAGGCGCCAAAAAATTCAAGGACAAACTGTAAACTGACTTATAAACTGCCCTTGGGCTACAGCAATCCTCTGAAAATGGATCACTGGCATAGTATATCATAGTATGCTGTGTCCTTCAGTTCGCCAGGATCGTTCGAACATTCATGAATCTTGGTCCATTGGTCCCTTCCTGATATTCCTGGTCCATTGGTCATGATTCCACCCACCCGCCACGCGCACGCACGCGCACGCACATTCGGCCTGGATGCGTTCAAGTGCACTCTCCGAGGGTCCCGTACTCGGTTGCCCCAAGCCCGCGCAAATCGCTCTCAAGCCTGCGCATTGTGGAGACTACAAGTCCCGGGTGCGGGTGTCGGGGGTCGGGGGGTTCAAACGTTAAGGGATTTGCCAGAAACGATGTTATATTACATTGTAATTATTTGGTGCAATGATATTTCTTGCCAGGCAAAGAATGCGTATAGGTTTTGGGCCGGGGTTAGGGGTTTGGCAATTACGTACATGATAAGTTTTGGTGTTGGATAATGTTAGATGCGCCTATCTGGTCGAATTCCCAATGCACGCGCCAGAGCAACAAAACTCAAGGAGAAAATGGACGCAAGCATGGTTAGAGTTGGATTCTGAAACTAATCGATCGGATTCTGAAACTGGGATTCTGAAACAAAACACCACAGAACCAAGATGTCACCGAAATGTTTCAGTTGTTTGAACATCGCGCCACATTGTCCGTAAGGCTTTAAGGAATCTCTCTTCAACCTTCACTGTTCCACCCTGCGAATTCGGACTGGAACCAAGTGGTGCGAATTCGCCCGAAAAGGATGGTGCTCCTGCGAACGACGTGAGCCCATCCGACTTAGTTCATGGCGAGCGCAGAAAGGATGGGAGCCCCAAAGGGAAGGTGGAGTCTTTTCCAGAAACAGACCGGCAATCGCCACTCATCCACCAAATACGATCTCCTATCTCTGCTGTCTGTGCTGCTGTCTGTGCTGTTGGTGAGCAAGCAGTCATTAAGGCAAAACAACGGGACAAATAGGACCCCCTTGGTGCCCAGCCAGAACATTCGTTACCACCCGTCTGCATGCGCAGGAGGTGCATGCGTCATCAGTGCGCTGTGGCACTGCGCCTTTCTCGTCTTCCTTCCGTAGCATCTCATTGCGTTGTTTCTCGTTCGCCACCCGGAGGTTCAGCAGCAGTTCACTCATGGCCTCGAGCGAAGAGTGCCGGTTCTTCCATGATCCAAACATGGTCACCCCCTCATAATCCGAAATAGGAACACATAACATTGATTAAAAATTGGAGAGTTCCGAGCGACCTGGGCCGGGAAAAATCGCATTAAACAGTTAAACTATAAGTCCTGCTGGCAGCATCTTGTTCCCCAAATCATACAACGACCCACTTTATCCACCTGCTGGTCATCATGCACGAGTCACAGATTCTTTAGAAGGTCCAAAGAGTCAAGATCAGTCATACGCACAGTTGGCGCAGTTGGATAGAAGAAAACACCGGTATATATATATGTATATATGTTTTTTGGATCGAAATGTGCCACGCACAAATCCTTCAAATTGAAAACATAAGTGTTCGCTATAGCTTTCCAGGAACCCTATTGCATGGGCCAATGCACTGGTGGTGTCACACCACCCTTCCTTTCAAAACAAATGCTCCGAGAAGACCAAAGAAAAAACCAGCGCAAGTGTAAAGTGGCAAGCCGGACGAAGCATCCTGGGGTTGGTTTTGCGCAAGGCCGTTCTCTCCCTCATCTGCACTGGTTGAAGTGACCATTCAAGTACATCAACTTACATGATAAACTGGCCAACCACAGTGACCAACTTTTTTGAGTTCCCTATGAACTTCCAACATCGTTTCATGCGATCTACTGTTGCTCCGGCCACGAGACACGAAAAAGGCCCCTGTTGCGAAAGAAACCTTGTGAACGAACGAAGCCGGGTTGTGATTCAAATAGATGTTTTTCTCACACGCCGCGTGAGGTTTAACCTCTTTACTCTGCCATCCTCTGTCCTCCTCCTGCCATGTCGTCATGCCATGTCATGTCACAGCGCGTGCCAGCACACCATACAGAGCTGAATGTCAGAAGACATGCCAGTTAGAATGCCAGAAGATGTGCCAGAAAGGATGTCAAAAGATGTGCCACTCAACATATGCCAGAGCCAAACAGTGAAAGCCAGAAGATATGCCACATAGAATGCCAGAATATGTGCAAGATAGAACCCCGGAGGGTATGCCAAAAAAAATGCCCGGAAGTCATGCCAGATATTACGCCAGAAAGAGTGCCAGAAAGAATGCCTGACATGTGAGATAGAGTGCCAGAAATGATGCCATCAATGTTCCTGTGGCACACTGATACGTGGGTTGTCGTTTTTGGCAGTGCAAACCCGTGCAAACAAGAAGTTATGATTTTGATGAACTCATGGGAGTGTCTCAGCTAGACCTGCCTGAATCATGTGCGCAAACCTGGTGCAACAGGTATAGATGTTCAGCCAACCTCGGGTTGCAGGAGAGCGCTTGGCGAAGCTCAAGGCATTGCCAGATTCGATTTGCTTCCGAAAGAGTCCGGAGCAGGCGTCAACTCCACTTTGCACTTGGCTGGGTTTCTGTGCGGCGACACAGGAGCACACTCCACACAAACCAAAGCCTGCCGATAAAGGAAAAGCTGAATCCTCGCAACGCTGACCCGGGTGAGTCTGGGCGCATGCAACCTACCAGCGACAGCCTCCATGCAACCCACTAGCGGTCGCCCACGCAACCAACTAATCTGGCCCAGAGACAGCCCTTCAAAAGAAATATTGTTGTTTTACATCCTTGGCTTCAAAACGCGCAGCCCCAATCATACCCAAGACATCATGCCAGCACAAACTAGTCATAAAGGATACACGAAACCGAGGACAATCGATCCGTCGTATACCTCTTTCTTCCGACAGACGGTGCTTCTCGGTCTTCATGTGAAACGCTTTGTGCGTGACGCGATATGCGCCTCCGCATCCGCACGCAACTTGTTTCTGGCCTTTCTGCCCCAACCGGCGGGGGCTGGCGAGCGAACATTTGCTTTTGCCTTGCGTCTTTTCGACACTCGGGCGGCCAGATCCTGCACTGGACCAAGAGTCACCTGCCCAGCTCTTTCAAGCCAAGAACACGGTCCACGAAACCATAGTTCACATGAACTTCGTGGCATTGGTGAACGAATGCTTTGGCCAAAATGCCAAGCCGGCAAAATGCAAAAAGACTCTCCTTTCCAGAAAGGTTCCGGCCCTCCGGGGCCCAGTCTGGAGCAAAGTCGAACGCCACCTTGTAGAGCTTTACGTGTCGAACGTTGACAAGCCCATAGGGCACAAATGTCTTCAGGAGTGAAAGCCACAGGGCTACATGTCTTCCAAGCTGCCGTGAAGTTGCGAAGCAGTCTGTGAGGGGCAGTTCCTCTACTCGCAGCTGATCTCGCAGTTGGGCAACCTTAGCTGGTCACGCTCACTTGCAAGTCTGGCCCTATAGGCTCGATTTAAAAGCAGCCTGTGTCCGTTAACAAAGAATATATACATATACACATACATGCACACCCATATGTATATATATATATATGTGTGAACACACATACGTGCACGTGTAAACCTACCTCTACCTACCTACCTACATACCTACATACATACATACACACATCCATGCGCACTTACATACATACATGCATGCATACATACATTGACTTCAATCGTTCATACATTCATACATGCTTACATACCTGCAGACATCCATATACATTTGCATATAAATGTACAAAAACATTTATATAGACATGTAGATATACATACATACATACATACATACAAACAAGCAACCCAAAAAACTAAAAAAACATATCCATACGTACATACATACAAACAAACACACACAGATAAATACTTACATACATACATACAACCCTACCTACATACATACAAACAAACATACAAACACACATACGCACAACCATACATAGAACATACATATGTACATCCATTCATACATACATACATGCATAGATACTTCCGTACATACATACACACATACAGACATACAGACATGCATACACACACATGTTGTGCAACACGTATGTGTGTGTGTGCCGCGTTTTGTAGGTTTTGATCCTGCATTCTCACACTCATCAAAACACGACATAGTTCCACACCACGGAAAAACTGGGTGCTTCAGAAGATACTTGGCGAGGCAGGGCGCTTTGCTATCAACTGTCTGGCTTCGCACACGCATATCAAAGCGATTCCCCATGTGACAGGCGGTGGACTTCGCAGTGGAATCACGGAGTAGCGGGCCTCTTGTATCGATCGAATGAGCTGCTGCATTGACCCAAACTCAGATATCATTTCCTGGGCTGGTAGGACACTGAAAAAAGAGAGAGAGAGAGAGAGGTATACCACAAACATGTCAGAAGATGTGCCACTTAGAATTAGAATGTCAGACAATATGCCGCATGCTACCTGGAATGCCACATATGAGACGGATAGAATCCCAGACAGATGTCAGAAGATTTGTACAGCAGGCGGATATGCCAGTTAGAATGCGAGAAAGGATGTCTAAAAATGTGCCAGCTTGATTGCCAGAAGGTGTGCCAGTTAGAATGACAGAGGATATGCCACGTAGAGTGCCAGAAGATATGCTAGGAGAAGATCTCAGAACTTGTAAAATTGGAGAGAAAGCCGGAAACAGGATATGCCAGAGAATATGCCATTTCAACTGTCGGTATATTTGCCATATGGAGTGCTGTCAGAAACATCCAGAAACTATGTCAGAGCATGTCGGAACAAGTGGCAACTTTGGACGGCAGAACCAAAGTCAGAATAGTACATGGCAGAGCACATATCAGAACAAATTCCAACCATGCATATGTCACTGTGCATGTCAGACTTCACGGCAACACATGCCAACACAGACGATAGAACTGTCCAGAACATTTCCCAGCCTTTATTTATGATAGATGATGTGTCAGAACACATATCAGAGTCAATGCACATGTCAGGCGGCGTCTGTCAGGATAGTCTGTCAATACATGTGCCCTGCCTTCTTCCACATCGCCTCTCAGGATGGGGATCACTGGAAGAAAAGTATTTTTGGCGTTCACAAAACACTCAACATGGGAGAGGGTCCACCGTTGTTGAACAATTTGTTCTCAGGCGAGCAAAGAAAGAGACCCTCACATGTTCTCACCTTTGCAATGCGTAGCCGCCTGAAGATTGACGCCATGCTGTGGCACCCGGACTCCCAAGCTACTTCGCTTCGCGCGCAGGGCGATCACGGCTCCTGAGAATATTCGCATGAAGGTGGGCAAGGCTTGCATGATCTTGCATGGCGCATGTCACAGCACGAAGATGTGATTGGATCAATGTTTCGTTCACTCATTCACCTCGCCAGCTGGTGTGCAAGTTGCCACAGCTCAAGACTTCAACCTTTGAACCAAAGTTTCATAAGAAAGTGTCAGAGGATAAAAACTATGCCATGCTTTGTTGCTAGTCAGGCGGAGGTGTGTCGCTCAAATAATGTAGTTCACAGTTACTACGCTGACACAGGGAGGGTTTCAACCCCTGCACCCAAACAAAGTGGCAAACGGCAGTACAAGTTCTGGTACGCATAACGTTACGCAAGCCTTCGGTCACCAAGAAAATCTGCATCAAACACACAAAACTCACTCTGACATGGAACACACACGCGCACAGAGTCCTCAACTTATATTATAGATTCTTCATGATACTTCTAAACCGCCACAATGTACTAATATAATCTAATATAAACCATCATACAAGAAGCTACGTTCGGGGCTCCTGGCCTTACGAGTCCGGAGCGATCGGACGCGACTCGAACGCACGTGACTCGATGACCGGCCACGAGTCCTGCCACCGCCGCGGTGCGGAGTGAGAGTAAGGTCTGCGGCTTCCGGGTCCTCGGTCGGGTCGGGTGAAAGGCGGTGGGGTCGGACTTTGGAACAAAACACTCAGAAAAGGTCTATGTCAAGTGCATCCTATTCCCTGGTTCAGTGGATGTGTTGTGGGTGTATCCTATTTCCCTGGGCCCAGTGGATGATATGTTGGTTCAGCTGCAGGCCTTTCCATCTCTTAAAAGTAGTGATATTCTTGTTGACCAACGGCTCTACAGGTAATAGGACACCCCCAAGGTATGTTATCCCAAACACTCCATGGGGACTGGAATATATGCCTACATGGACCCCTTCACCCCAATGAAGGCAAATATATCCCATACAGTACATTAAAGTGTTTGGCTATACCTACTTGTCAGTTGTGTTAGTCATGTTTTGAGTGATTGTTTGTTTGTTTGTATTCAAAATCCTTGGAAAAGTATGCCAAATCTCTTGACGTGTTTTTCATCCAGTATTCTCTCAACCCTTTGATCAAACAAATGCAGTGTTCTTGATTAACGCGCCCCTGATGTGTGTCTTTGAAGATCAATTAGGCGAATTGCTGTTCCATCGGGAGGACTGAGATGTCCAAATATATCCAAGACGATATACCAGCAGTTCTGAAGGGGTAGCTTTTGGTTTTAAGTGAGTGGATAGTGGACACCCCTACCCTCCAATAAGCACCCTTTGGAACTGCTGGTAACTACTGCAATATTACAGTGTTCTGAGGCTCTGCCAAAGCCACTCATGTCGAGGAAGGCATCTCATTGTCGTTGCTTCAGAATTCTTAGGGTTTCTTACCTGATGCATGTATCCCACATGGTAGTTTCATGTACTTTCTCCATCAACGGTACGGTGGGCTGGTCGGAAGGCATTTCTATTGATGTAATGCTTTCTGCTGGGAACCTTCCGCATGATGACTCACTGTCCACTGAAACATATTCCAGTGGTATCCACTTCTAGTCCCACTAGTAGTATTGCACACCACTGGGGAATATTAAATACCAAGTGCCCAATCTTCAGCCCTATCTTCAACCCTGATCACCATTTGTCAATCTCTCGGAGGGAATGATGCTAGGTGGTCGCTCTTCTCTTGCACCATCCAAGCCCTTCTAGCACATTCTGACCTTCTGACCTTCCATATCTCGGAGAACATCTGTGGATTTGTTTAAATTCAATTGATTCACACAACTATAGATTAGTATAATCTAATCATATATAATCTATTGACCAACCATATGGCTATACTGATGTACGTACACTGTTCCATGTTGCCCCAAGTCCCCAAGTCGCCAGCCCAGTGCAGTCCTATCAGTCCTCTCCCATGGTTGCTTCGGGGTCACTGCCTTCGCGGCGCCAAAAGCTGAGCACTTCGAGCATGGAATCCGCATGACAATGGCTGCCCGGCTGGACGCCACATGAGGCACGTGAAGGATGGTGCTGTGGATCCCAGGTGCCGTAGATCCGTCACGCCACATGAGGATCCCTATGGCACCTAGGATCCATATGGCACCTGGGGATCCAAGCCATATTGGAAGACCTCGAACATTCAGGAAGGCACCTAGATGTTTTCCCTGCTAGGTGTGAGTTTGACCTGCTCATATTGGGTTGTTGGATGGTCGGCACTCTCCGTACTCAAAAACCTTCAAATCACCCTGTGTCCCCTTTTCCTCTGGGTCTACAATGTCCCCTCAGCTTTCCAAAGGAACATGGGCATGAAGCCTGCTCACATCATCTTACAGCTGTTCATCCAGCTGTGAACATTCAACTGCGGGGGGCGTGGCCAAGATCTTCCAGCATAGCATGTGAACACCAAGTTAGCGAGGGTGATTCTCTGCCACAAGCCCCTTGAAAACGAAGAATCCTCCTACCATCAATCAAACCCTGACTCAGAAACACTTGCCATGAGGCCGTCCTTCCCCGAAGTCATAGGAATTCATACATGCTTGTCCTTCTCCACCTAATATCATGCCCACCAGCCCCTCTCCAAGCAACCCTCAAGGACCCCTACGAGGGGTGACCTCACCATGAAGCCAGCAGGTTGAGGCGAAGGAAACGCCAACATGGTGTCGCGAGGGCCGCGCCCGGGACCCGCGTGTTAGCGCGGGGGTCCGAATATATGTCTGGAAAACGTGGACAGAATGTGTCTGGGGTTCTTACTTCAAGTCTTCGTGTCTCACGTTGCAGCTCTTGGAGACTAATTACGCGCGAATTCAGCCGATTTTGAGGCTACACACGGCAAGGAAGAGCTAATGGATTTGGACATAGACTACTGCTCAAGCCTTCAGGCCTACAGGGTTGAATCTTCACATGTTGCTCTGGCTTTCACATGTTGCTCCGAATCTATTGTCATGGCTTGGTGAACATCAACACGGCGGCAGCTTGCTGACTCCTGAGTTGGAGATCCACACCTGGTTCGAGTGAAGCTTTCCACCTGGTTTCACCCATTTCAGAGGTTTTATGAAGCTTATCCACCTACTTCCTAGGTTCCAAGGTCCAAGAACACTTGGGCAAAGCTGCGGATTTGAGATCTCTGCTCTCGCTGGACCGGATACACCATCTTGATCCCGTGAAGCCCATCTGGCGCTCATGGGTGAAGCTCAACGCTGCGGCGAAAAGGAACTGCAAGGGAGTGAAGCCACACCACTTTCAGAGGGTATCCAGGTGTTCGTCTTCAAAAGTTCACCACTTTCTGACTGGGTGAGTGTCGGTGTCAGGTGTCAACAAGGTGAGTTTGAGCATGTGCATATAAAATGTGTATGTCCATAAATAATGCGAACGGATGGAAAGGTGTGCCCTGGCCCCGTTCTAGCTCTTAGGTTGACATGAAGCTCGCGCGCTAAAGCTCCTTTTTACCTGGTTGGGCACTTGAGCCAAAAGTATATGGCATGTACCTGTATAGCAACTATACTGGGACCTCATCCCTATTGACAAATAAACAAAACATATATATATATATATTTTGTATATTAATATATACACGTGCATACCAGTATATATCGCACACTTCTGTGAGCTGACTGGATAAATTTGTGTGTCCTTGCAAAAGGCCACAGTGGCCACGGATTGAGCTCATCAACCGTCTGTGAAAGCATGCACCTCGAGTGTTTCTGAAATTCAGCCTCACCAAGATACGAGTACCCTGACACTCCATGGGACTGGAATATTTACATGCATTGGGGTGGTTGAAAAAGGCAAGGGACTCATTTGCGACACCAAATCTGACTCATTTGCGACACCACCACCCCCCTGTATTCCTCTCATGTGCGACACCAAATCTCTCTCATTCGCGACACAGACACATACACACATATGATTGCAAGCATTAGGTTGGGTGGGACATTAGGTTGGGGTGGGGTGGGGTGGGGCATTAGGTTGGGTGGGGGGGGTTTAGGGGTGGGGTGGGACATTAGGTTGTTGGGCTTCAGAGTTTAGAGTGGCATTTGGTGGAATTGGTGTGGAGCTGGATTGGAGCTTTATGACTTTATGAGAACCAAGCAAGGGCCCAGAAGCACACAGATTCTCTAAAAGAAAAGCTCTCCGCGTCACAACTCAGAAAAGCTCTCCGCGTCACATTCGAGACAAAAAAACGCGTCACAACCGAGACCCTTTCCGTTGAAAAAGGGGTCAGTGTAGGTACAGCAAATATGCCATACATGGAGGCCATCGGTATTAGGTTCATCGCATACTTGGAGTGTGTGGGATAGAAAGAAAAGTCCTCTAGACTGCGTCCTTCCGATCCAAACACACGTACATGGACGAAGATGTTTTGTTGGAGGAGGAAACCGTGGGACGAGTGGCTTTTAATGGCTTTTGGGACCCCAAGGAGATGTAAGAAAAAATCACTTTTAGATGAGGGTCCATATAAGCCACCTTTGGGGGATTATACCATCTACTCTCGATCCACTATAACATGGAACCTCAAAACCACTGGGTTGCAGAGGAACACGGTCGAAACCACGGGTCAATTCTCACAGGGTACACCTTTGCCACTTCTGGAATGTCTTTCGTGCTAAATCCGTAGCACTGCAAGATTGACGGCCTTACAGAATGATCAACGGCCATGTCACGATGCGCCGATGCAATCTTACCGTTGAACAAGTCTGGTTTCTCGCTCTTCAAAAGAAGCTTCAGGCCGATGTCACCTCGCAGTCCCTGGAATCTCTAAAATCTATAGAGTAGTACAGTTGTAGAATGTGTGATATGTGTGTAAGGTGGTTTGTAGCTCTGGAGACCACTTGCAAAGAATAATCCCATTACACTGTTGTTTTGATGCAGTCTCATTTCGTTTGGCTCAACTGAAGGGTAGTGTGTGCACACTGAAATCCAAGTATATCCGAGTATTCTCCCCGTAACTAACATGGAAGTGTGACTGGCACCACTATGTCCTGGCCGAAGAGTTTGCACTCCCTGGAACTAACATGGAAGTGGACTAAAACAAACCCAACTTCTTCAAAGTGAGCTTTTTGGAGTCCCAAAGGAGTACCTTTTGCAAGCTTAAGTGAACCCAAGGCAGGGGAGCAGGTTCGGTCAAGTTGAAGAACTTTCCATGTTAGTTCCAGGCAGAGTGAACCCACTTCCCAGGGTGGCTTGATCCCCAAATTCCCCCCCAATCCCATCCAGTCGCTTGAACCCACCACGGTGTCGAACGGACCATCCATCCCATCTGAGGAAAGCAGCAAGAACCTTCGTGTCAGAACCGTTCGTCTTCGTTTCAGTGCTTTTTCAAAAGACTACAAAGTTCCGAAGGACACTGGTATGGGACTTCGCTTTTGGCTGTTTTGGGGTGGACCGTTTCGGGTGTTTCTCTGGACCATCCGTGAGTCACCGATGGGCGCGGCGCGGCGCCGTTGGAGACGAACCGTCCCGCCAGGGACCAAGAGACCGGTAACAGCTGTGACTACGGACGCCCATGGAAGGCTATGCACCAAGGCGCACCAAGGGATGCATAGCCTTGCAGGGAACCCCTGTGATTGATGGAAGGGGAATCCATGCAGTGGATGGATGAACCATGGATGAAAACGGTCCGTTGGAACACCGCATTCCCCGACGTTTTGAGGATATTTGTTCCACTTCCAGGTTCGTGAGTAGGAGTGTACCAGCTACACAAGTTCCTCTCTGAATCAACATCTGCCAACCCCTCGAGTCAGCCCTGCAGCAAAGCCAAGTTTTTCAGCTGCGAGGTCAATGACTCTGAAATTCCAAGGACATCACAGGATCAATTGACCGTCAGTCCGGTACCTAGAGTATATTGTTTTGGAAGGACCCCGAAATGATACAGCGGTTTCATGAACATAATCAAGGACGTTGAAGGATGAAGCCGTGAAAGAACATGTCAAACTCCTTTTCACTCCTCCGACGCCGCGCGCCGTGTTTTTCCTCACAGGTGTTCTTCCTCTTTGAGAGGCAGGTCATGTCAATTCATTATTCATGAATATTCATGACTATGGGCCAAGAATTGAAGCATTGAAGCTTCAAAAAAACTCTTCTTAAATATAGATTGAAAGAAATGAAATATAGGTTCATGGCTTTGCCCTCATTCGCTGCTCGAGTCTTTTCATACTTCGCATTTGGCTGACTGCCTGTGATCCATTTTGAGGAGAAATGACCTTGCTCGGCTCGTCCACTAGAGGCCGAAAGCATCTGTCCCGGGAATTCCATGAATTGATCGCGGCGGCAAAAAACAGCGCTGAGACATCGTTCGCCTGCACAAAAGAAGAATGACCAGGACGAGCCACTCATGACCTCCAACAATCAAAAACTCGCTGGAAGCATTCCTTATGCAATTCATCGGCCACTCGCCAACCCCGTTGAGGAAAAAATGGAAGCCTCTCCTTGTTCCCGGCAAACCTGAAATTCACCCTGCCCTCCTCCTCTGAATTCATGTCTTCCAACACATAGATTTGGAGAGCTGCGATATTCCCTCCCCTCGCCCTTCGCGGACTGCAGATGTCCGCAGCTTCTTGCCAGTGTTTCCATCAGCTTCATGTGCTTTTGTTAAACCTTTGGAAGTTCATTTCTATCGTTCTCAGTGGTTCCAGCCTGCCCCCATTCATGTTCCCAGATCATCCCAGACCTGAAGTTGCCAAAAATAATTCACCTCTTTTGTAGGGCCAACATGGGCCAACCCACCTGAATCATTTTCGTTTACTGGAGGCAGGGTACACACTTAACACATCTCATGACTCGGTGCCAAACAGCAATGAATAATTCTGGTGAAGACGCCTCTGACGAATCATGACAGGGTGGCTTTGCAATGCACCATCCTCAAATAGATTTCAAATACCGGGGGAGGCCATCGCTTCTAGGTTGGAGGCCATCGCTCTTAGGTTGGAGGCCATCGCTAGTAGGTCGGAGGCCATCGCTATTAGGGTGGAGGCCATCAAATACATTTCAATTACCATGTCAATTCAACACCGGTGGATTGATGAATCTCTGGTGACCTGGACTGGAGCATAGCCACCGCAAGGCCGTAGGCTTGGGGAAAGGGACTCATCTGCCAAAGTCTTACTGAATTGAAGAATGCAGGGGAACAGCACTGTATGTACCATGCTTTTGGAGGGATGCACTTGGTGGATGATGTCGACCTTCAACAGTAGTAAGATGTAGTAAGCGTTCTTCTTTTGCCAAAACCATAAACCATTGTGCATCTACCCACCCTGAAGACACCGTCATCCAGCTTTGCTATGCTTTGCTCGCTTGGCATCCTCCAAAATCACGCGCTCAGATTGGGTGAGAAGCTGGTCTAGCGACTTGGCCGTGAGATCCTCGGCACGGAGACCAACTACCAATGACATGGATTGACAGGTACACTTCAGGAACCAAGAAAAGCCACCTTGCGTGGTGTGTTGGCCAAACAATGGCAACATCGCGCTGTCGCCTGTGCCGCTCGGCAGCTTTTCATTCAAAACGTCAACTGCCGGTGTTCAGATTCCTCATCCACCAAGCTTTCCATGTCCTGCCCAGATCTACTGCCCAGGTCGCGAACTCTATGTGCAAAAACATGTGCTTGCACGCGAGACTGCTGGTGTGAGTAGCGGCATCAAAGTGAGAATGAAAACAGCAACAAGGGCCACATCTTCCGTCATGACTCGTCAGGCATGGTCCGTTTTCTTCACAGGTTCACAGGTTCACTG